CACTGTGCTGGGTCCCAGGACACGAGGCATTTGAACCTGAGTGCCCAGCTGGCCCAAAACTCTGTTCAGAACCAAGACTCTCCCCCGACAACCCCATCTGCTGCTGGTTTGGTCCCTAGTCTCAGGGAATGGTGAAGCACCCACAAATGGGTTTCAGACCCTCATTCTGCTCTTTTTGCTGGTGCCTACCGCCAGCATGGATGCTGTTCATACTGGGCACCAACTCTCTCCCCACCCTCTTTTCAACCCAGAGGGGAGTGGGTGATTCTACCACGGGGGCTGCCACTTCCATCGCTGCACAGCCTCCTGGATGTGTAACATGGGAGTCAACAGGGGACCAAGTCCCAGAGCCCTGCCTGCCCTGCCTCCCACGTGACCTTAGGCCGCTCCTTACTCCTCCCTCGGACTCAACAGCAGTGTGAGCATGGTCCCTGGAGCCAGTTTCCTGAGCCAAACTCAGGCTCCAACACTTGTCAGGTGTGTGAGTCTCATTTTCCCTAGCCATACACTGGGCCCAGGACAGTTCCTTCTTCTCAGGCTCCTAGTAAAGATCAAATGGGACAATATGTTTAAGCACTGATGTGACGCTCGATAGACATGTGCTTCTCTGTATCACTCTGTGTACAGACAGTTGGAGATCCCAAATGCCAAGCAATAGCCTCCTTGAAACTCTGGGCAAATTCCCCCTTACCCTGGGCCTCAGGTCTCCCCTCTGTAAGAGAGGAGGTCTGGAAGGTGTTTAGAAGGGGTCCCCATGATTCATCCAAAGGGTTTATCTTCTGCTCTGTGGCTGTCGGGTCAGAAAGAGCTGCTTACTTGGCCCCCATCACCTTGACGGCTTGTTTACCACGGGGAGACTTTGCCCACCATCCCTGCTGTTACCAAGGTAAAGAGCAGAGTCCCTTGCATCCTGCAGGCCACCTGCAGCTCCCCCTGTTTGGGAAAACTGCAGGAACAGCTGATGGACAAGTCAAAAGCAATCCTCCTGAAGGACTTGGGGAAACTGCTCGTGAAGCCAATTCCCCACAGGGGGCCGGGAAACCTCCAGCCCAAGGCGGAGTGTTTACAGGCTATAATTGATAGAATAATCACCAATGCATGAGACAAAGGCGAACACATTTTTAACATCGCAACCTTCAAGAGACAGGACTCAATTTTCTCCATCTTCCAGCCACCAAACCAGCTGTTTTATTGATGGTGAGATACCAACAGTTCAGTAAGGAACACAAGGAAGCCAGAGCCATTTTTCAGCATACAGGCTGCTTGCCAAATGGCCCAGTGCCCCCTCCTCCCCAAGTGCCCCGCTGTTGCCTCCTGGCAACACACAGAACCTCAGGACAGTGAATCACTCAATGGACAAAGCACCAGGCCAAGCCAGGGTCTTTGTCTGCATTGGGTGTATTAATAATTGAAAGTGCTGGCTTAGGTGCGCGTGTGCGTGTGTGCGTGTGTGTCTGTGTGTGTGGTGGGAGGATGATGTGTGATGCAGTGTGAGACACCCCAGGGTTCCTCTGAGGGTCCATATACCTGTCTTCTCTGGACCACTCCTCCCTGCAAAGCCAAACCAAGCCTGTCCCTCACACCGGGCGATTCCCATCCCTACGTCTCCCATGGTGTATGGGTGAATACTTCTAGCGCTGGCTCCCTAACCCTAGGCTGCATGAGAATCAACTGGGGAGCTTATTAAAATGTGGATTCCTGGGTTCTATCAATAACTTTTTTTGGCCAGTGGGTTTAGGGGACCCGCATGGTAAGAAACTCTCTGGGGACTCTGAGGCTGTGGGTCTGCAAAGATCCTCACAAAGAGTCTGCCTTCCAGACCCCTGCCTTCGATGCGCCCTAGGAGGAGTATTATGCACACGGACTCAGCAGACCTTTTTGAGTCACCAGTTCCTTCTGGTGAAACCCATCACTTTACCAGTTTTCTGGGAAGCTGGAAGGGAGTGCACTTGGGTTAGGGTACACAGAGGACTAAGCCTGCCACAGGAAGGAGCCGAGCCTGCCTTAAGGCTGTCCTACACAAGGCAAGTCCAGAGCTGCCAGGCACACCTTCCTTCTGAATGTGGCTCTCCAGCTCTTGGCATAAAGTCAGTGACCTTGGGTGAGTCACTGATCCTTCTCAAACCCCAGTTTCCTCCTGTATCTAAAGCCAACCTGGCATGCATGACGCCAGCCTAAGTGAGTTCACACTGGCAAGTGGCTTGGCCATACCTGGCACATAGTAAGCACCTCATAAATGTCAACTCCCTTTCCTTCCACCCCTGCTGGAATAAGGAAAATCAAAACAGTGGCCATTTATGGCACAACTACTAGGGGCAGTAACTCACCATTATTACCTCACCTCCCAATTCCTATCACCTTGTGGACAGCCACGCAATATGCGTTCCTTGTGCCTTCACAAAGCCCTCTTCAAAGAGTGTGAAGCGGAGGTAGAAGGGAGAGGAAGAGTGAAACAGATGTCCTTGCTGACCCACCTGACCGCAGGCGCTCCCTGTGACAAGCCCCAGGGCAGGTGGGCGGAAGGTGCTAGCCCGGTGGCGTGGCGGGGTTGGGCTTAAATGCAGCAGGAGCAGTGAGCAGCCACCAAACATCTGGGGTCAGCAGGCCCCTTCTCAGCCCATCACCCCCTACCCTGAGACACACAGACACCTTCCCAACCTGGCCACATTTCCTGAATCAGCTGAGGACACACAGAGCCCAGGAATAATGAAATGATCAGACTCCAATCTGCTAAACAGCAATTTCTGAGCGTTTTCAGCACACACAGCTTTTATCAAATTGGTATTCTCCTCCTGAACACAAATGGCTTATTAGACATGACCCACTTATTCGCTGCGTCTCACTATCATTAATAACAGTTTCTTTTTGTGATTAAGTGAGTGGCTCCAAACCTTTCCTGTGGTGGCGGATGGTTGGCCTGGCAGAAGGGCAGCAGTAGGGGCTCTCAGCGGCCCCTACTTGGTGACTTTGAACCTGGCAATGTCAGGGGAAGGCAGCCTGGCCCCTGTGGAGCAGCCCAGCCTCCTTGTTTCTTGAGGGACAGAGAGGGAGCCCCTGAAGGGTGACTCACTTGCCCAGAGAGGCACAGGGGGTCAGGAGAGAAACCAGCTTCCCCGTCAGCCGGTGCTGTTCCTTTTGCCCAGCCCCTCCCCTGGCCTTAGCCAGACCTCCAGGGGTGCCAATGGTCATTACAGCTGCGGGGGAGGGCTGCACCCCCTTAGCATACCTGGCACCAGGGGGCAGGCAGAGACTGTTACACAAAAGGCAGAGCCTGCTTCCAAATTCCTGAGGTCCACTGCCCCAGGGACAGGATGACAGGCAACCTCAGGGCTCCAGTGCTCTTGCATCCCTGGACCGCAAACTCAGGGAAGTCCTTCCTTAGAAAACCCTCCCAGTGTAAGTTCCAACTGTGCCAAGGAACCGAGAGAGCGGGGAAAGGAGAGGAAGAAGGAATTCCCAGTTTCCCTCAGATGGGAGGGTGTCTGACAGGGAGATAAATGTCCCGGGCAAAGCGCTGACAGACCCTGGGGCCTGTCCCAGCTCAGCCAGTCTCTCACTGTGTGACCTTGGGCAACTCCCCTCACTTCCCTGAGCCTTGGTTTCCCTAACTGTACGTTAAGTATCAAAATAACACCTTCCCTATTTGTCAGCGCTTAAGCTAGGTCAGGAGAAATAAGTAAGGGACTCAAAGGGTGCAAAAATGATACACAGAGTAGTTGCTGTCAAACATGGTGGGGCGGAAGAGTCATGAGTCCCTAGAAGCGGAGACTCTGAGAATGACTTGGAAACCCCCTGCCCCAGAGCCATCCCACTTGGCATCATGACCCAGCGAGGCCCTCCCTGATTATCTACCCCTTTCACTCATCATCTGAAATAAATCACTCAGTTCTGGCCCTTTGTTCAAACCTCTCCCCAGCCCTGGGCACTGAATGCCCAGCCCTGGTGCTGCAGCCTTCCCTGAGACTGAGTGGGGAAGGGACGGTGGGAGGCAGGGTCTTCTCCGGTGTCATCTGTGCTCTGGCCCCCACACTAGAGCCTGGCACACAGGGACAGGGGGAGCCGCCACAGCTGCCCGTCTCAAACACACAACTCTGCTGCCAACTTGGGCTCCTCTGGGGCAAAAGTAGCTTCTGACACTCGGGCAAGAAGTGCCAGGAACAGTTGCTTGCTCCCAGCTCCCACGATGGCTGGAGTTGAGGTTTCCCACATTTCAGTCCTCTGGACCCAACAATGAGGATGGGGTACCCTACGGAAGGACAGAAGCAGCTTCCCACTCACCCCAGAAAAAGACAAAAATACCAAGTGTTCTCCTCCCACTCCCACGTCCCTGGCCGGAAGCAGCAACCTCAACTACTCCAGTGTCTTTGAGGGGCTCCCACAAGGCCTGCATCCCTGATTTGCCACCCACATGACAGGGGAGGTAGCAGCCCAGGTTAGCAGGTCCCAAGCAGGACCCAAGAGGCGCATCCTCAGCGGTTTAAGAGGCAAGATGGAAAGGAAGGGGACAAGGGCGGTCCTGGGGGTGAATCCAAAAGGAGAAAAGCAGATGGGCAGAGAGGAGTGGGTGGACAAAGTGTATGCACGTGTGTGTGTGTGTGTGTGTGTGTGTGTGTGTGTGTGTGTAGTGGACATAGTGTATTTCTGAGCGAGGGGGATCCGACAAGGTGTGGGAAGATGTGTGAGGGCAGGAGTTGTGAGTGAGAAAGCAGTCAATGTGACTGTGAACATCTGTGTGGACATGGAGGTGTGCGCTTCTGCCTGAGTACGTGTGCGTTAGGTACGGGGGCTTCTCCGTGAAAGCAGGAGTGGGGGTGCGCTCCCGGTGCCCCCTCCTCCGCAGGGCTAGCCAGGATGCCGGGCAGGTCCGTAGATCCAGCAGGGGGCGCCCCAGGACTCCTACCATGGCAGCGGGGGTTCGAGCCCCGGGCCACCAAGTTGGAGACGCGCAACCTGGGGTGGGGTTTGGTGGGGAAGTCCATGGGGGCGGCTACCGAACTCACCGTGGCCGGAGACGTGGTTGTCCCAGGGCGCGTGGCCGGCGGGCCGCGTGGCACCGCCGAGTTGCAGGAAAAGTGCCAGGTAG